TGTGCTTTAACCAGTGTTGTGCTGTGCTTTAACCAGTGTTGTGCTGTGCTTTTGTGTTGTGCCAGCAGGGAGGGCCCTATGTCTGTAATTACTATGTAAAAATATAAAAAGTGATAAGTACATTTTTCTACTACATCTGCGAAATCCAGTATATGTTTTGCACTAGAGTATAGAGTATATCTCAATTTGGGCTAGCCATATTTCAAGTGCTCAGATATGTGACCAGTAGCTATCATATTATTGTTCTAGATGTTTTTTGATAAAGTAGTTAAAATGTTACCTCAGTATTACTCAACTTCCTCTGTACTTGAAGGTCCCCTGAGTCATCCCCTAAGGCTGATTGCACTGCCTTTGCAGGAACCTCCCTTTTCAGTGTGTCCCTCCCTGGAATGATAAGTCCTGCTCACTACACCGGAGGGTCTGAGAATTTTGTTACGTGACATGGGGAGCTTGCTAAATAGGTGAAGAATAATTGACAGACACATTTTGACAAAGGGGACCAAATCTCTCAAACCAAAGAAAACGGTTTGGTGAAACTAATCTGTTCTCCCTTATCACAAGTACAGCGTACTCCTTTGAGTGCCAAGTCCATAAAGAAAGTACTGGTTTTCGTGGGCATGATTTTATTCTATACGCAGGGGATTTGTTAGTGTTTCGTACAGTTTCATCCCCAAATGTTGAAGTAACATCGCATAATAGTATGTAAGCGTCTATTGTACATTGTATGGGGGTCAAAATGTATATTTGATGTTAACTTCACCGCTGAAGTCTAATTCTATTCTTCATCATATATTGGACCAAAATTGTGATAGTCACTGAGAAAGAGAAAGAGAGACTTGACTGCAGATACAATCCCACAATGTAAAAAACAGCTTCTACAACATTGATTAACTGACCCAAGTGTCAGTAGTGCCCTGCTTATTTTTAAATATACAATTTTTAAGGAAGAAATAGCCAATTTTAAGGAAGAAATAGTATTTCTGATTGAGCAAATTTGTCAGCTGCATTCTGCCCACACATGACAACTGCTTCTCTTAACTTACCTTCACCCTAGGGACATGCTAAACTGCCATTCTGCTCCTGCCTCCTCCTCTTCTGAACTCATTTTTGCTTGGGACCACTATAGTTTTTCAGTAAGGGCATGCCCACTGAAAAGAAAATGCACATTTACCTACAATGGCTAAAAGATGACTGCACATTCTTCCATAAGGTCTGTTGGGATTTAGGATGTATTCTGGGTCATGTGGAAATTTGATTGATTTCCCTTTCCATTGTCCGTCATGAGGAGTGTTTAACTGAGAATATTATTAACTACTATGGTCCTCAAGTCTGTTACCTAGGTGGCTGTTAAGTTTGTGTTCATAAATTTTAGCAAGCAGAAGTCATTTCCAACTTATGAGTATTCTTGAAGTGTCCTCCTCAGTGTCTGTCTGGGTGTGGCCTCCACCCTTTATTCATTCATGACTTCAGGTGCCTATTGTGTTGGTCCTCTTCCCCATTATCCTCCACTCCCCTTTGTTGGTGGTGGCATTTTTAATTCTTGGGGCAAACCTCAAAAAGGAGCTGTAACTAAGTTAGACTAATGGCAACATTGTAAAGATATATGGGGAAATCTTAGATGTGGCAGGAATGCTTAGCAATGGGTATTGGTCAGAGCTAGCTTTTCTGTTCCTGTCTCTTAACTAGTCAGCAATGGATGATCTTGGACCTTTAAAAAAAAAAAAAGTTACCCAAAAGAGAAGGTTAATTATGAAAAGGGAGAAAGGAATAAAAGACAACTTGCATAGACACAAATGGTCAGAACGAACTGCCCAGTAAGGGGTAGGTTTGGTAAAAGAGAGGCCTGCATGGTTGCAGTGGGTGGCCTTGGGAGGAGAGCTGTGTCTGCTGAGGGTTTAGTGAAGACGGAGCAACAGTATGGTGGCAGGCAGGCAGGCTGCTGCCTGCAGAGGGAAAAGGTTGTTGAGAAGAAGTACCTGCATAGTAACACGGTGGGTAGAAGGACTGCTAACTCTTGTAACTCTAATTTCTGATTTTCTCAGAGTTGAAAAGTGAACCCTTGGTTCTTTGTGTAGGATTTGCTTCCCACCCAGGAGAGAGAACATTTGGGACCAGCTTGCTGCTATGCAGAGATTGTTCCTAAAGATAGTATGAGTGCTAAACAAGCTGATAGATAAATAGATGAATGCTGACACGTGGATGATGGATGACACGTGGATGGATGGATGACACGTGGATGGATGGATGACACGTGGATGGATG